CGTCGTATCGGGCATGACCAGGTGGTCTTGGCCCAAATACGACGTGTCGTAAGCACTCAGTCCTTCCACGTGGTCCATCTAGGCTTTGGAAATTGTTGGGGTCAAAAGTAATAGACGCGTGTGCTTGATGCATCACGTGTGTAACGAAGACCCAGTTTTACTTTACTTTAATCTCACTTTTCCCAATTTCGTGTTCAAAATTTTGGACCAAGAAAAGTCCCATTCAAAAGACACGGATTTTGCAAACCATTCTCACGATCACCAAAAGCAGTTGTTGTAAAAGCAAAAGCAGAGTCTCACGATCACCAAAAGCAGTTGTTGTAAAAGCAAAAGCAGTTGGCTTTTTTGCATTGCATTGCATTCACAGAAGAGTTTCACACAAAACCCATTATTTGTTATCCGAAAAATCCACCTACTAAGCTGATTCTCTGCCCTGCTGTGCTGATTCACGAGTGCCATTAAAGCCCCAAACAACCCACTTGGGGGTTTTTGAACCCTTTTGAGAAAAGCGCTTTTTTTGCAATTTGGAAGTTTGGAAATGGCTGCCAAGGAGTCGAGCTCTGCAGCTGCTGCTTCGGCGGACGGAAAAATCAAAAGGGTGCTCACCCATGGCGGTAGATATGCGCAGTACAATGTGTTTGGGAACTTGTTCGAGGTCTCCAGCAAGTACGTGCCTCCCATTAGGCCTATTGGGAGAGGTGCTTATGGCATTGTCTGGTGAGCTTTCTGCTTTCAAAAGTCCTGATCTTTTGCTTCTTTTGCTATCTGGGGTACTTTCGATTCGTTTTAAAACTTTAATTTTTTATGTTTGGTTGGCTTTTTTGGTTGAAGAATACAAGAACCCACGTCGAAAAACAAACAAAATTAAACATGTTTTGTTACTTATGTTGAGTGGTTCGATTCTAATTACCTTTTGTAATAAATTTGAAATGGAGGGACCGGCGGTGGGCTCCCAGAGTGTGTGGGACCTTGTTGTGATATAGGTGGTAACATGCAAGTTAGGGGAACAATATCGGTGTGGATGACAGTGGGCCGCTTGCCCGTGTTTTTGAAATCTTGACAGTTGTGCTAAACTTTGGAATTGGTTGTAGCTTTGTCAATATGAGTTTGGCCTATGGAAAAGTTTGATTATTATGCAGAAAAAATGTTTGAAATAGAGTAAGAAGAAGTTTGTGTGACTGGTTTATTATTCGGGCCACTTTGTCGTGTAAATTATTTGATATCTTGGATTAGAGGTTTTATTGGTGCTGGTATTGAATATTATGCATACTTTAGCATGAAACAAATTAGAGGAGGAGTATTTTCTTCCGAATTTCAGATAGATGCGTGTTTCAATCAGTTCGGTTAACCGCTAACGTACAACGAAGCTGGTTTGTTGAATAGGATTAGGCATCTATTCTTTGCTGTTCATGAAGTTGGTAAGCGTGGTTTCATGCCATTGCTTCTGCTCATCATGTGTAGTGAAGAGCAGATTAGCCTAGAAGGCCGCTGCAAAAAGCTTTTCCCTGTTCGTTCTACAAGTATAATCTTTGGCTAACAGAGCAGTCAATAACACAATTTCTTGCTTTTCAGTGCGGCTGTTAATTCAGACACCCATGAGGAAGTTGCAATTAAGAAGATTGGTAACGCTTTTGACAATATAATAGATGCCAAAAGGACACTAAGAGAAATCAAGCTTCTTCGTCACATGGACCATGAAAATGTAAGTTTATTTCTAACCGTTATACAACTTGAAAGCAAGTCTAAGACAGGGTACATGCTGATATGGTATTACATCGCTAAAGACTCTGGATGATGCCTTACAGGCTACAGCATGTTGAATCTATGATGGGTTTAACATCTTATTTGTCTTCTGGGACTTTCTATGAGGAATGTTCTTCAGCAGTCCGATTCCTTTGTTTATCGTTAATGGCTATCTACTATCAAAAGAGAATGTGATTTACACACAGCATGTCTGAATTTGATTGCCATATTGCAGATCAGGACTCATTTCCATGTGCCTTTATCTGTTTATTTTCTGTTGGACTACATATATCACTCTTTCTTATGGGTCTGCTCAAAATTACACCTCAGCTAATTCCCTTTACAGGTTATTTCTATCAAGGACATTGTACGACCACCCAAAAAAGAGACTTTCAATGACGTCTACGTTGTTTATGAATTGATGGACACTGATCTTCATCAGATCATTCGTTCTGACCAACCACTGACAGATGATCATTGTCAGGTTTGGCATCAGTAATATCACTGGGACTTCATCCATTGTCCTTGCAATCATATAGTTCACATTCTTAATATGTTATTGGTTTGTTGCGAATTTATTGCATATTTTGATTGCATAGGGGATTTAACCATATAATGTTTTACTTTTCTAAGTAGATGTTGATTAAAGAGAATTCATGCAGAAACAGCTACTTAGACTTACAGAAACTGCTACTTAGACTTACAGAAACTGCTACTTAGACTTAACCATCAAATGGCCAAGAGATAGATGTTGATTAAAGAGAATTCATGCAGTATTAAATATTTGTGATTACTGTTAATAAATACAGGAAAAAGCTCAGTTAAATAAATTATTGATTTGTTACTACAAAAGTATTTTTTGTTGCTATTGAACTGTTAAAAGTTAGTAACATCTTATCAGAATGTTTTTACTATTGTAAATATTTTCTCAGTTGTTTTTGCTATTGTAAATATTTTCTCAGTTTTTTTTTATAAAAAGAAATATCAAAGATGGCTGATGTTTCGGACATTGTTTAGAATTCATAATATGGTATTATGATCTGGTTTGTTTGGTTTTTTTGGGTTCGAAGTCACGCAGGGTATTAATATTTTTTGAATCCTATGCAGTACCTTCTGTATCAGTTGTTAAGAGGGCTAAAATATGTGCACTCAGCCAATGTCTTGCACCGTGATTTGAAGCCAAGTAATCTGCTTCTAAATGCTAACTGTGACCTTAAAATCGGAGATTTTGGACTAGCTAGAACAACATCTGAGACAGATTTCATGACCGAGTATGTTGTCACTCGTTGGTACCGAGCACCAGAGTTGCTACTTAATTGTTCAGAGTACACAGCTGCAATTGATATCTGGTCTGTTGGTTGCATACTTGGTGAAATCATGACGAGAGAACCTTTGTTTCCTGGGAAAGACTATGTCCATCAGCTGAGGCTTATTACGGAGGTACTACTTGTGGAACTTCCAAATGAACTTAAAATCTAGTTAAGCATGCTTTCTAGTTTTGATCTGCGGTTGAAGTTTGTTAGATTAGCTGGATATAAATGGAAAAAGATAGGTTGTTGATATGTTCTAAATAGGGTGGTGCTATCCACACAGTCATTTTTACCTTTCACACATCCCTCTTAATTTCCAGCTGCCATGGACAAAAATTAACAGGGGTGTTGGAGGTAAAAATGGGTGTGTGAATAGCACTACCCTCTAAATATTATTGTGCAAATTGTTAAATTGATAGTAACAATATGGCATGGTTTTGGGATTCATATCATTCTTCTATCCTATCATTTCATTGGGAATAATGCTTCGTTCTGCTTTTTTTATTTTAAACTCGAAAGTCTTTATATGTTCGTGCTTGTGAGATGTACGTTAAACCTAGTGTGTTGCTATTGTTTCTGTTTACAGTTGATAGGTTCACCTGATGATGCGAGCCTCGGATTTCTTCGAAGTGATAATGCCCGAAGATATGCAAAACAGCTTCCACAATTCCGGAGGCAACAATTTGCTGCTAGATTCCCTAATATGTCTCCTGGGGCTGTGGATTTGCTGGAGAAAATGCTTGTGTTCGATCCTAGTAGACGCATTACTGGTATGAGAAATGAGTCCAAATTTTCGAAGGGATTTCATTTAGTCCATGCTTTTCCCGACTTACACTTTTATATCTATCTGCAGTTGACGAGGCACTTTGTCACCCATACTTGTCGTCCCTTCATGATAACAATGATGAGCCCATCTGCGCAAGGCCTTTCCATTTTGATTTTGAGCAACCTTCGTGCACTGAAGAGCACATCAAAGAGCTCATCTGGAGAGAAGCAGTGAAGTTCAATCCAGACCCAACCCATTAAACGAAAATGCTCTGCTAGGGCTGTAGATATATGTATTATGAAGAACTTACTATCTTTTAACAATGTATAATCAATCACTGTTCCCCGTAAGGGAACTAGCTCTTGAGAACTTTCGCTCGTAACTCACGGTCAAATTATGCGCAAGGAACTTAAATACTTGAGGGAATTAGTGTCCTACGAACATCGGTGAAGCCCCCTAGTGAATGCTTGCAAAGGCTCCAAAGCAGTATATTGAAGTGAGGATGGGGGAAAATGATTTCGAGCTTTGTTCAAAGATTATAAATGTTGTATTGATTTGGACTTGGGATATGGGATTTCTTTCTTTTTACTAAGCATATAAAATCGAAAGATTTGAAGAGCTTTTTTCGTGTTTTTACTTGGTCAGATCTTGCACATTGCAGATTATTGCTTCTTTCCTGGATTTGTTATTCTGTTCATCGTGATGATGTCTCAATTGGACCTTGTTTTGAGAACTTGACGCAGGTACAGTTATGCATCGGCATTGCCCGTTACAACTTACAAACTCCTCACTTCCGGTAGCTTCAATGCGTAGATTGATACGGTAAACTTACATCAAGATTAATTGGACCAAAAAATTTCGGATAGTGATTTTCACTCTCGTTTTCTCTTTCTGTACTCCCTCTATTGTTGTCCCTTGATTCTCTTTTGATTTATTCAATCAAAAGGCTAGAGAAGAAAGGAGCGCAAGAAAGCGAGTTTTAAAATCACTTCCCAAATTTTGCTTGAAATGGTTCGTCTGCTCGTTTAAATATCATTTTGTGGTTAGGGTTCCTAAAGTATATGCCATGTCTTGCACAACAAGTAACCGATCCAACTTTTCGATTCAAACGTTCAATGTAACTTTGTAATATAATCTATCAATCTTCATAAAAACAGATTCCCTGGTAGGGAATATGATACTTCAATTTATCGCCAGGGCTTCCTCCTGTAAGAGCACACCTGGACTTGAAAATTATCAATTGGCAGGCTCTCTTCTGGAAAATTGCATGCTTCAACACTGCCTGGAACCTGGTCGGCCAGAGCCTCACACGGCTGAGGAACAACGCGGCTTGAAATCCTGGCAACATCAGTGCAGTTCCACGGTAATTTCTTCACATTCTTTGCCAGTGTAATCGTAACATTCGATTTGCAAATCCCTGTAAACGGATCACCAGGAATCCCCTCCAACTCAGCTGCCATTGTCACATTCTCAGCAGCCATCTCATGATGATTTATGTTCTGGATCACAGGAAGAGCATATGGATCGTAGCCGTTATCTGCATGGCATCCGTAGTTTCCTGTCATCCAAAATGCCCATTTCATAGTTTTCATAGTCATCCCTCTCACGTATATGTCTTTCACAAATCCTCCTCTTCCCACAGCAGTCTTGATTCGAACTCCTGACTCCGAGTTGATGGCAACAATGTCCTCGGCCCTCACAACTTGGATTCCACCTGACATCTCACTCCCAAGTGCAATCACCGCACTGAATGGAGAAATGCACGTCAGCCGTCTAATCACAAGCTGTTTCGTGGGCATCCTGAAAGCAATTCCATACTCATCCCAACCGCTTTTTACTGCTATACAATCGTCCCCAGAGACAATGTAGCAGTCCTCGATTCGGGTATTAGTGCAAGAATCTGCACAAAAACAAACCGATATCAGCTTTTGTTATCGGCATGATATTGATGGCAAGTTCAGAAGCACTTATACTTGCAATAAAAAACTTTTAAGAAAAGTGCTTACCTGATCCCATCTGTGTTTGGAGATGTCACTGGGGCAAGGATTGTAATTCCTTGAACAAGAACATTGCTGCATTTTCAACATCTTTGATTAGAAAAGTGCTTATTACATCTTTCACCAGTTCTTACAACATAAAACATTAAAAAAAACAACAAAAAATTTGGAGAAATAGGGTAAGAAACCTGCTGTAAATAGGATGAACATTCGATGATGGAGAATTAACCAAAGTGAGATTGGAAATCTGGATGTTTTCGGAGTACATAATTTCAATCAGGTACGGTCGGGTGTAATTTAACTGTCCCCTTTTGAATTTCTGCCACCATACTTCCCCTTGGCCATCAATGGTACCATTGTCACCTGGTATAAAAATGTACCTTTGTGTTATACTTGGAAAATTTCAACAACTTTCTGTATAGTATAATTCATAATTTGATTAAATTTCGTGGTTGTTTTACCTGTTATTACAACATCAGTGAGATTGGTTCCAAATATCAGACTGATGAATCTTCCACCTTCTGTGTTGTCCCTTCCTCGACCGTAAGACGGAAGGGGTTCAATCACCGGCCATTCACTCTCATCCTAAGATAATTGTGAAGATACAAGAAATGAAACCCAGAAAAAACGTTATCATTGTCAAATTCTGAAAGCCTTAGAATGCCTAGATCATATATATGTGACACAAAAATGATGATACACAAATTGAAATGTGTTCTCCCTCCCAGAATCTCATTTTGCACATTTTCCTTGAGCGGGTTTAAAAGAAAATGACTTTCATACTTTATTTTTTTTTCTAACTACACATTCGGCATTCTCGTCCTTTTCATAGGCTTAAAATTGAATAAATAAAACGGCAAAAATGAAAGTATGAGTGCAAAAGGATATAATGGTTGTGCGAAATAAAATCACTACCCTATTGCAATAAAATATTGTGCTTAAAATGCTGTACAACAAAAGAAAAGTGTAAATAAGAGTTGCCTAAAGTGTGCATAAGATCGTTGCTTGCCCTGTTGTGGACTTACGTTGTACTTTTGGCATTTTTGTCTTGATTAATATATCTAGCTTTCCAAAAAAAAAAAAAGTCTGCGCACAAGATCTAAAAATCAACTTTAGTTTGAAGGGCATTTTGGGCTTTGAATCTCTTCCTCTCTCACCGCATTCGTCCTGCATGCTGTCACGGATTTACTCTGTTCTTCTTTGTTCCTTTTGTCCTTTATCCCACATACCAACTAATAGATGTAAAAGAATCTACAAAACCACAATGGAATGTGAGAAACAACAAGAATGCCTTTTGGGTTTAGTTTATTTGACAATACTCCATTTTAAATTTTATTTACGATATGTTTTTTTACTTGAAACAAGAGAAATTATAAATCAAAACATTGTAATAAGAGAGTGAAGAAATGAGAATGAGATCAACCGTTCTTTTTTAATACAATTCCTAATAATTATACATTGAGCTACATATGCTTTTTTTCTATTTATTTCGTATGCGTTAGTAAACGCAGTTAAAGAACAAAAAAGACTTTCAAGGAAAATTTGTGTAATTACCTGAGAAGCAACAAGAACTGCATCCTTGTGGAGATGGAGAGTGAAATGGCTGGTGAGGTTGAAGCTGCCAGTTATCCATTTACCAGGAGGGACAACGAGTTGTGACCCGCCTTCTGACTCGTACTGACTCAGATAAGTGATTGCTTCCTGAAAAGCCTTGGTGTTGGATGTCGTTCCATCTCCAACTCCTCCAAAATCTGTCAGAGAAGCACTTTTGGCCCTGCAACTTATGACGCAGTACTCAAGGTATTCTCCTTCTGCATTCTCCCTCCAAGCCTTGCGGCTTTCAACTCCTTTTGTTGTGGCCAATAAAACCGCAAATACTACTGCCATCACCATCTCAGATAACTGCAACATTGGAAAAAAAAATTATGGGATTTTTGTAAAAATTTTTTTAAGAATTCGAAAATAATGAGACTCATATTGGTATTCACAGTAGAGATGGATAAAATAAGAAACAAAAATATAAAGCAAAAATAATAGAGGTGGAAAAATAATAATTTGTAGGAAAAATAGAAGAGTGATTAATCACCTGAGTATTCATGGGATTCCTCCTCCTCCTCATTCTACACAAAATGGTGGTTCTTCAAACTTTGTCGTCTGTAATTTGGTTTCTTGCGAAATGAAGTATGTCAAGTTAGAAAAAAAATAGCGTCTGCAGTTTGTTGTTTACTGTATTTATTTTCTATTGTTTTCGTTTGATCTGCGGAGCAAAAATGGATGGAGATGATAAAGTTGGTTACCTTTTTCACCCAAAAAGCATCATTCTTTGAGAATGCTTTACAATGTCAATATACAAAAATTAAATTTGAAACTCTTTAGAAAACCCCATTAGTTGTGCATTAATCAAGGCCTTGTACAAATATGTTAAGTTTAGTCACAAGTGGTTATAGTTACCATGATTTATTCATACAGTAACTGCAATTACCACAGTTGATTTAGTCATAGAAGAAAACATCGATGAGAACAATACTTTTTTTAGGTAAACAATAGCGATTTAAATGTTAAAAATCGATACAAATATTAAAGAGAACATTTTGAATAACATTTAAGTAGTCCCCAATTCAAAGAAACTTCAGGAAAACATAATAGACCAACTTGGTCAAACTAGTTGCCACCGTACTAGTAGAGTTGAGGGTGAGACATGCTCCAGAAAAGGAATGCATCCAAGTTTTAAAATCATCCACCTCCAAGCTTAGAAGATTTAAGATTGCACCCCAAATCCAAGTGAACTTCATGCCTATGAAAAAGTCAAGCACTTCTCGAATTGATATTTGAGCCTTTCTACACACAAAAACTAATATAATGAACATGAGGATACTCTTTGACAGTCAGCAATGCTAACACGAACGAATGTCCATACTGTCACGCCCCTCCCCAAATTATTTGCTTTATTTCAAGAAATAATAATATTAGTAATAGGCCCAAACTAAACTCCTGTTTAGTTTGCTACTATTTCTTTCATCTTACTTCTAAATCTTCAACCGATTTAATTCCTATAAAATTAACCATGTTTTTAGTTACCATAACAATTAATTAAGTTAACAACTTAATTCCCCAAATTATTCTATCAAGCAACCTCTAATTCAAAGATTAATTCTCGAATATTTAATCTTACTAGTATTATGGCTGCATCTAACATCTCGTTAGACTGCCTACGTACCCTAAACAGAGATCAAGTCATTCGTAGTTCACAAATTCCAATTCAATTAAATTTTGATATTTCTACACATAAATGTAACAAGTGTCTTACATTAAATGATTAATAAATTTAATTCCAGAACAACAAAATTAGCCTAAAAATACGGTGTTGGCTCCCTGGCCACGCGCCGCCGCCGGTGGCGGTCGGCCGCTCCGATTCGCCTGAAAATATCAACTATCTCCAAAAATTTCCAAATTTTACAAGAAAGTAGATCTCAGTAAAAGGAGCAACTTTTATACCTGAGGCTAAGCCCAATTTGGCTGGGAAACACCTCAAATCGGCCACAAACCGCCAGAAACCCTTGAATTTGGGTGTGTTTAATTCGACCTCAAAGTAACTCAGACGCCCCTAAACTTGTTTGGGATTTGTTCCACACCTCAAAGGGAGTCTAATGGTGGTAGTAATTTGATGGAAACATTTCAAAATTTGGGGAATCCCGAGCAATGACCGTCGCACCCCCCCGGTGCATTTTTCCTAATTTCAAGGCCAAATCTATTATTTTTGGGATGTACAAGGAGGAGGGAACGATTGGGTTTGAAGTAAGGATCAATTTGACACCCTTCATGTCGTCTAAGGTGGCCGGAATCAAAAGATCCAACCGGATCGGGTCGTGGGTATAACCGGGTCGAAGGATTCCCTCATTCTCCCCTCTCTCCTTTCCTCTCCTTCCTCTCTACCACCCCCCCCCTCCCCCCACAAAAAAAATGGCCATCCCCCCTTGATTCCTTCCCTCTGCTCTCCTTTCTATGCTTTTCTTTCAATCCCAACCATCCATTTTTATTTCTTCCTTTCATCTCAGCCACATATGTGACATGTCACATGGCTCCAGATTTTCTGGAGCCTTCTAAAGATGTTTAAAATTACCAATTTATCCCCGACTTTAAACATTAATAACTTCTTCGTTAAAACACCGTTTCACGAATGGTTTGCACCTACGCGTTCGTGAGATCGAGCTCTATTCAAAAATATAAATTTTGACCTCGAAAGGTGTACATATTTTAAATAATCAATGTCCAAACTTTAAACCTTGTAACTAGTTTAATTTAAAACTAAACTTTTATGAATTAATATAAATTCCCAATTCTTTTCGCATATTCATAATTATGAATATCCAATTCATATATTTAAATTTTCCAGGGTATTACACATACCAACATAATTTTTTTGCTCAACACTAACAAGGCTACTAGAAACAGCGAAGTAAACTCAGGAGAAGTCGATAACAGTCGACACAAAACTAAAATACTCAAACTCATAAGTAAATAGACCATTGAAACATTTATTGACAAAAATACTAAAACAAAAAGTAGATCTGCAACAATCCATGAAAAGAGGATGGGGGAAAACGAGAAGAGGAACACGGGCTGCTACTAGCCTCAAGCCAGATTAAGGGGTTGCTGGTTATGAATTCCATAGATCTAGGGTTTTGATAGGGGAAGGAGAGAGCAGCTAGGGTCCAGTATTATGATTTGAATATGTAACTTACACAATAATCAAAATTGTTCATTTTTTATTACGATTCAAGATCATACATGTTAAAAAAAAAATGATCAAATTAAGATCGTTTAGTCATCTATATGTATCAAATAAATAGACAATTTTAATATCGTGATTTCATATATATATTTTTTTACTAGTATACATAGAATATGAGTGTGCTACGTTTTAGATTGTTTGAGGCCATCATTGTTCACATGAACGGTTTCCATCCAAATAGAAAAAAGTTAAAGCACATTTGTGTTACAGAATTCTAAAAATGGAAGTTGAAGCAGGGCCAATACGGAGGTCTAAAAGATATGAATATGATAACCTAATAATGGGGGTATAAACAGAACTCACAGTGCGCACATATAGAAAGCATTCCAATTTTTTCATTGTGATTTATGGCTGAGATTCATCCTCTTCTCCCTCCCTGTCGAGAAAGTTGGTTCACTTCATCCCCCACCTTGTTTATAGACCTGAGAATGGAGAGAACCCTAAATCACTGGCGGTATTATAATTGCACATGGTAGTCAGTGGTGAAGGCAGGATATGTCAGGGGGAGGGGCGAACTTAAAATGTCCAAGGTTAAAAAAAATGGCACATTCAAATCATTTTATATAGTAATGTTTTCCATAATTTATTAAAACAAATAAAAGCGTGCAAGGATTTAAGCATTGTTTTTTCTTGTAGTATCGTTTTATTACGTAACAGTATAGTGGAAAAAAACTCTTTGACTCTCAGACTATACTAATATAACTAACAATTAATCAAACCAACAATTCAATTAATTAATACTAATAATCACTACAAATTATTTAATAAATAAAAATTCAATTCGACTAATCAATATGAATAATAATATAACTTATTCAGTAATTCAATTAATCAATCAATAATCAATAACCATATTAATGTATTACCCTATGATTCAATACTAATTAAAAAAAATCGTATTAAATAGTTAATTAGGATTTGAAAAATAAAAAATTTACCTAAAATTGGGAAGGATGACGTGGCGGCTGGATGGCGACTGAAATGGAAGCTGGCATGGAGGTTGGAATGGAAGGGCCAGCGGAACGGGTTGGCTTTTGGTGATTGCTGTGAATTGGGGCTCTGATGGAAAATGGGGTAATGGTTAATGGGCACAGCAGCAAAGGCCAGAAACCAAACCCTGCTGCAGTAAAACAGGTTGGTTTGGGTGTCCTCCAATATTTTATTATTATTTTGTTTTAATAAAGCGGTAAAACGGTATCGCTTTGCTTAAATAAATATTATTTTTTTATGAATCAAACCAGCGCGGGGGGTGCTGCACAGCAGAAAAGGTCAGAAACCACCATATTTTCCAGTTTCCGGCTAAAACAAAGGGACGTTCCTGGGCTTGTTTTCCGGAGAGTGGAGGGGCGGTGGCCCCCCTCGCCCCTATGTAGCTACGTCATTGATGGTAGTAAGTAGTGCACTACTTCCTCCATTTGCTTGAAAAATGTTAAGGGTAATCGCTCATATGTAAGTGCATGACTCACACACGTTGTGAGCTTCTAATCAAATGTATGCAAGCTTGGAAGTCACCTACTTTCGCATGAATGACTGATCGAAGCACAACTTCTATTTGATTATGTGATTGCTAAAACTAAGAATTTTATACATTGTATATATTTAGTCAATGTTTTTTTTTTCTTTCAAATATTGATTTTGAGATTACAGAATATCAACAGTAGTATTTGACAAAAAAGATTAATAAAATATTCTCAACAAAAAAAAAAAAAAAAAAAATCAAATATTGATAATGTACCAAATTTTATAAATTATTTTGTCAAATAATGTAAATTAATATTTCAATATCAAACACTTTTTCTTCTCTCAGAATTCCTTGTATTCATACCATGTAAAGTGAAAATTCTATATTATACAACGTATAGGATGCAACATTACGTTGCGTGACTGAATTTTAACAGTCTCAATCTAACAATTCAAACACAGTTGCATTCCATCTTAAGATTGAATGTGAGGGATAGGGTATCCCAAAATGAAAGTGGTAGTGCTTGGTGGGGCACTAAAACAAATGGGTTACATGAGACCCACTATGGTTTAAGGCCACCAATTGGAAAACTAAAACGAAAAGAACTTGATCATGGGGATCTTTGGCTGATTTTGACGT